ATTTTTAATTAATTAATTTTCAAAGTAGGCTGTATGTCCAGTGTGGGGCTTGAACTCATACCCTGAGATCAGGAGTCACATGCTCTACCCACTGAACCAGCCAGGCGCCCTAGATCTTGGACTTTTTGTGGTATTTTGATCCATCTGTAATTAATTTTAGTATAAAGTATGTGCTGTAAATTTCCATATTAATAGGAAAGTGAAAAGGTCCAAGGGATGTTAGGGAGCCATTTTTTTAAAAAAGCAAAAAGCTAAGCAGTTGTTTGACCATAGTTTATTAAATCATCATCTTTTCTCCACTGATTGAGTGCTGCATGTAAATTCCATCACATTTTAAGTCTCTTGTTGGACTCCTTTGTCCCATAGATTGTTTCTTCTGCCAGTGGTGCCAGTGCTATTTCACTGTATTCCCATACCTCAAAATATGCCAACACTTCTTTGTCGTTACTTTTCATTTTCAGAATTTTGATAGTTATTCACATCTGATTACATTTCCATATGTACTCTGACGTCTTTAGTCATTTTCTAGAAAAATGTTGGCATTTTGATTGGGGTCCCTTTGAATTTTGTCACTTGGGGCAAGTCAGATTCTATAGCTTATTAAAACTGGGTCTTTCTACAAAAGAATCTAAATGTCAGACTGATGAAATTTTAAGAGGTTGAAGAAATTTTATTTTTCTCAAAAAAATTTTTTTAACGTTTATTTATTTTGAGACAGAGACAGAGCATGAACGGGGGAGGGTCAGAGAGAGAGGGAGACACAGAATCTGAAACAGGCTCCAGGCTCTGAGCAGTCAGCATAGAGCCCAACGCAGGGCTCGAACTCCCGGACCGTGAGATCGTGACCTGAGCCGAAGTCGGACGTTTAACCGACTGAGCCACCCAGGCGCCCCAAGAAATTTTAAATTTCAGTTGTATGGTGTTTGGAGGTAGGATTTTTCAAAAATTTCTAGTTGTTGACCTTTCATCCTATACACTTTCTGGTAGAAGAATCAATTGTAATAGTTACAGTATTCTCAGTGGCGAGATTAAAAAGGTATTCTGGGGGCGCCTGGGTGGCGCAGTCGGTTAAGCGTCCGACTTCAGCCAGGTCACGATCTCGCGGTCCGTGAGTTCGAGCCCCGCGTCAGGCTCTGGGCTGATGGCTCAGAGCCTGGAGCCTGTTTCCGATTCTGTGTCTCCCTCTCTCTCTGCCCCTCCCCCGTTCATGCTCTGTCTCTCTCGGTCCCAAAAATAAATAAACGTTGAAAAAAAAAATTAAAAAAAAAAAAGTATTCTGTATTCTATTATTTACGTATGTTTTCCGTTGTTGCTAATTATTAAGTTAGGATGCAAAAAGGGCCCTTGTAGTAACATTGTAGCACTTACAGAACTGGTTTTATTGTTGGTGACATTTTTTCAACTCATTGCCTTCCTGATGTGCTCCTTTTAATTTTAATACCCAGTACAAGTGATAAAGCCAGGGAAAATCCTAAATGGAGCTCAATTTTTAATATAAACCAATAGCTCACTGTTTAAATGTTTAATCATGATACTTTAATCTTTTAGTAGTCCAGAAAAAAAAAACCCCACAAATTCATGTGGAACTGGTCCAGGGCTATCACATATTTGAAACAGATGTGTCTTGAGTGTGCAACTCTAATTGTTCAAATGAAATAGAAATCTGAGTGTGAGCCCTTACTTTGCTCAGGGCTATCAGAAGTCATAAACGTGGACAGAATATCAATGTAATGGGCAAAGACAGTATTTGTTTTAGTTGTTATAAATAATGGGCTTATTCTGTGATTTCCAGGTTTATCACCCGTTGAACACTACTGAATCTGAGCTCACCTGTATTTCCCCCTACCCTCCTTCTCCCCCTCTCCTTTCTTTTTATTCTTTCCAAAAATTGCTATTGGAGTATAACAAACTGGAAAGGGCAGACATTATTAGTACAGTTCAGTGTGTTTTCACAAAGTGAACACACTTGTGTAACCGATCAAGTGACAATACCAGCTCTCCAGAAGCCTCCGCCTGTCCCCTTTTAGCTACTAACTCCCTCAAAGGCTGCCACTATTCTGACTTCTAACACTATGGATCTGTTTTGCTTGCTTTTAGATTTCATTTCATTATAATCCTACAGCATGCTTTTTATGTTTCCTTATTCAGGTTTAATGTTTGTTATTTTTATTTCTTCTGTTTCATAAATTGTTATCTTTACATTGTAAGTATTTCAGTAATGTATTTTATATTGAAATACTATATTAGGTATATTTTATATAGTTGGTATTAAATACGTTTACTTTCCTTTAAGTTTCCATGGTCTGATATAATTATCCTTGCTCTTCCATTTCTTTCCTTCTAACCTCCAACTGTTAGCTCTTTAGTTTTATTTATTTATTTATTTAATTGTTTTTAATGTTTATTTTTGAGAGAGACAGAGTGCAAGTGGGGGAGGAGCAGAGAGAGAGAGGGAGACACAGAATCCGAAGCAGGCTCCAGGTTCTGAGATGTCATCACAGAGTCTGATGTGGGGCTTGAACTCGCGAGCCGTGAGATCATGACCTGAGCTGAAGTCGGATGCTTAGCTGACTGAGCCACCCAGGCTCCCAGCTCTTTAGTTTTAAATTGTCCAACTTGATAGCACATTTTATTTTATAGTTACCTGTACCCTTGAAACCTTCGTCTTTAAATTGATAACTGAAGTTGAAAAACCAACAGCATTATATACATTATTTTGATTGGGAAGTAAAATAGTGTATAGAGTTTCATTTCATATATCATATGGGTTCAAAGTCATCACAAGAAACACTTGGAAGAGAAGGTTCATTTTGGTCAGGACAAACCAACCCTTGACTTTAGCTAATTAAATTGTTCAAATTCATGGCACATTTTAAATTGCTTCATCTTTGGGGCACCTGGGTGGCTCAGCCAGTTAAGCATCTGACTTTGGCTCCAGTCATGATCTCGTGGTTCGTGGGTCTGAGCCTCACATCAGGCTCTGTGCTGACAGCTCAGAGCCTGGAGCCTGCTTCAGTTGCTGTGTCTCTCTCTCTCTCTCTCTGACCCTCCCCTGCTCATGCTCTGTCTGTCTCTCTCAAAAATAAACATCTAAAAAAAATAAATTGCTTCATCTTTGAACGTATGTTTATTTATTTAGAGACAGCACATGAGTACATGCTCCCACGTACATGCGTGGGTGGGAGGGGCAGAGAGAAAGGGAGAGAGAATTCCAAGCAGGATCCCTGCTGTCAGTGCAGAGCCTGACGGGGCTCCATCTCACGGAACCGTGAGATCATGACCTGAGCCAAAACCAAGAGTTGGACGCTTAACCAGCTGAGCCACCAAGGCACCCTAAATTGCATCATCTTTGATTTTTTTTATGTTCATTTTTGAGAGAGAGAGAGAGAGACAGGGAGAGAATCTGAAGCAGGCTCCAGACTCTGAGCTGTCAGCATAGAGCCCGATGAGGGGCTCAAACTCACAGACCCGAGATCATGACCTGAGCCGAAGTCGGACACTTAACTGACTGAGCCACTCAGGTGCCTCAGTTACTTTATCTTTGAATGGTGTTTTTATTTTTTGCTGGAGTTTTTAGTTTTTCCTTATTGAGAGAACATGCCTTTTTGCTATTTCACCAATCTGTTCCCCTTCTTCCCCTTCAGTATCTATTGTACAAATCTCTCATTTTCTTCTTGGAATCCTGAAACTGAAATTAATTTTTACAAATTGTGTGCTAAATTACATTCTTCTGAAAGTGGGCCCAGGTAAATGAAGCTAGTGAGTAAAGCTGGGATACATTCTACGAAAATGTTAGTCGGTGGTGGGGTTGGGGGGAGGGGTGGGGAACATGTGAAGGTGAAACATAAGAATGAAATAAATTTTATTTCAGGCTATATCACCAGATTTGTGGGACATGATTTTATTGTTTTCTGCCGTTAAGGTTGGTACTTTATACATGTTTTAGGAGATCTCCTGAGATACGCTTTTCAGTACTTGGGAAGATTTAAAAGATTAAATTTTGTGAATGCTGGGTTATATTCTAGTACTGTACTCTTGGAAGCCTGTCTTCCCCAGGAGAGTCTGAAATGTTTAACTCTCCTAATTGAGAAGAGTCCTCAATTAGTAAGGAAGCTACAAGGTGTTAAGCCGATTAACACCTATTATATGGACAGATTTTCTCTGTGTGAGTAAATCAGAGGCCTAACTTCCAAATGCTTACTAGAGAGATTACTGGCTATAGGCCATGTTTTTCTGAAACAGTGATTGGCCTGGGCATTGTAAATAATCCACACCTGGACTGTGAACTGGGGAAATAGGAAGATTTCCGGTATTTCCCAAGCAAGTCATTTAAGGCCTGATTTACAAGTGCAATAATGTTTCTTATATAGAATTCATTGTATCCCTTCATTTAGAAAATGGTTCCTCATCCTTTAGTATGTGACATTGTCATTAGTAATTTAAGATGAGTCACTCAGTTTGATGGGTTTAGAAGAGTTTGGTTTCAGACTTATCCCAGACCCGAGGAAATCTTTTTCAAAATTAGTTGTCTCCCAAAGGGAGAGTTAAATCAGGGGGTGGGGTGGGGTGGGGACTGAGGCTAAACTGTAGAAATACTGCATAATTTCACTAGTAAAATCCAGTGGAGCTAGTATTACATCTGTGTTATAGTGAGCTGGAGTGTGGGACTCTGCAGTGGGATGGCTATG